TTAAGGGTCCCCAAGCCTCAGGGTGTTTAATGACGCTGTCCTTGTGGACGGTCTCAGTAAAGGCGGGCCAAGGAGAAGAGTTCCATTTTTAATTCTTTTTTAAACACAGGAAAAGTTTCTCTTTACCTTGCTGACAGTTTCGTTTGCGGCTGCAAACATCCTCAGAGCTGACGCTAATGGTGGCATCACTTCCTACTCCGTTTATCCGCGGGCAGCAGCCTGCTCTCCCCTCTCTGATGATGCAGTACCCATGCGCGATCCAACGAGTAAACTCCATCGTCCCTGTTCATGGTCCCACATCCACGTCTCCTTATCTCGATTGCTTCCTTGATCCATCTTTTGTATTTCTGTTGTTCGCTGTTTATGATCCTTGTGTTGTCCCAGTCCATTATATGGTTTTCTCTTGTGCAGTGATCTATTACGGCTGACTTCTTTATTGTGATTTCTGCTTCTTGTTTTGCTGCTCTTGTGTGTCTTCGACTCGTTTCTTTCTCGCACTCCTTTCTATGTTCTATTGTTCGTGTGTTGAGTTGGCATCCGGTTTCTCCTATGCATGTTTTATTGCAGAGTTTGCATGGGATTTCATAAACGACTCCACATTTAAGTCCAGCTGGTATCTTGTCTTTTGGGTGTACTAGACTGTTTCTAACTGTTGTGTATGGTTTTGTTGGTGTGCTTATGTTGTGTTTTTTCATTGTTGCTCTTATTTTTTCTGTTATGCCTTTGATGTGTGGTAGGGTTATCACTGGTTTTAGTTTTTAACTTTCTGGGTTTCTGGTTATTTGCTTTGGTTGTTCTTTTCTTTCTGTTGTTGTTTGTTGTTTTCCTTTTGTTTATTGCCCATGTCGGATATCCGCAGGTCTTTAAAGCATGTTGTATGTGTTTGTCCTCTTGTTTACGGTCTCTTTCTTCTGTTATCATGTTTGCTCTGTGATATAATGTTCTGATTACTGACATTTTGTGTATGGTAGGGTGTTCTGATGTCCATAATAAATATTGGTCTGTGTGTGTTGGTTTCCTATATGTGTTTATGTTTAGGATCCCGTCTGTCTGCCTGGTTATTTTCATGTCCATAAATGCTATACTGCCTTCTGTGTCCGACTTATATGTGAACTTTATGTTGCCCGTGTCGTCAATGTTATACAAGTGTTGTGTTAGTGTTTCTGTTTGTCCTTTTGGTATGATTTCCAGTATGTCGTCTACGTAGCGTTTCCATAGTTTTATTTTGCAGTTTGGGGGGGCGGTGGCTATGGCTTTTTGCTCTAGGTCTTACATGAAAAACTCGCACAGGGTGGCTGATAATGGGTTACCCATGGCGAAGCCTTCCAGTTGTTTGTATATAGTGCCATCGTATGTGAAGTAAGTGGAGTTAGCTACCAGTCCTATCAGTTGTGCTATGTCATCTGCTGTGAGGTTTGTTCTTTTGTGTAAAGTCTTGTCCTGTCTGACTCTGTTAACTACTATGTCTATGGTTTTTTGGGTTGGTGTTTTTGTGAAAAGGGATGTGATGTCATGTGAGATGAGTATGTCGTTATCTTTTATTGTAATTTTTTTTTTAGTTCTTTTGCCAGTTCTATGCTATTTTTGCAGTGTTGGTCTGCGCTACCTAATAACGAGCTGATGATTTTGCTGATTTCTTTTGCCGTGTTGTATGTTGGTGCACCTATGCCATCTACTATTGGTCTAAGTGGGGTGTTTTGTTTGTGTGTTTTTGGAGCCGCAAACAAAACGTCAGCAAGGTAAAGAAAAAAACCTTAGTTATCGGTGTTTAAAAAAGAAACCAAAAATGGAATTTGAAGACAAACACAGCAAGAACGTACAAAAGATGTTCAAGAAGAGTGCTTGAACTTTGAAGTGCTGGAAAATCATTCAAATCTACATTCAGAACACATGTAAATACCCGAGGACAAGAAAAGACACGTGGGGACATTTCACTCAAGTGCTTCACCATTAAACGCCGTTTCATGCTTGTCCCACACTCACCAGGCTGGAAGAGATTCGTATAAACTTCTCCACCTGAGAAAGAGTAATAAGACAGGTCATCCAGCCAGGTGACTTGACTCCTTAAGTCTAAACTGGTTTTAAAGTCAGAGATGTGTGTTTACAGAGAGCAAGCAGCCTGGAAAAGGCTGGCAGGAACAGCTCAAGTAGAGATCAGCTGATCTGCAACATGTCAAACAGCTGCTGCCATCTAGTGGAGGCACTCATAAATTAGCTGTTGAAGTCAGACTAACTGAAGTCTTCTCTGTCATACAAGGGCGTCAGTTTGTTTTCAGAATTGCTGGGGACACTAACCATACACTTGAGTGGGGTTTAAAAATTGCTGGGGACAATATAGGCTAGCACAGGGGTCGGCGGCTCTGGAGCCGCATGCGGCTCTTCCATCCATCTGATGCTCTGTGCTTGTAAAATAATGAATGGATATTTAAATAAAAAGCTTTATATTTTACTGCATTAATTTTACATCTGTATGCTAATTCTAAATGTAAAGATTGTCTGCGTAAACCTGAACAGGTCAACCCGGCATTACATGTGAGACCGGGTTGACGCGTCACGCTTGTGCGTAATCATATGCGCTTCCTGAGCTGGAGGATGTCAGATTCTGGGATTCTCCTCAGACGGCTCCTGGATGTGTCGCCACATTGGAGACAGGAACAAGCACTATTCAGCCAAAGTTTCATAATCAGGGAACATTTTCTAAGTGACAAGTCTCTCTGAGAGACCGGGTTTGGAAAACACTCGCTTCAGTGGGAGGAACCTTCTCACATGAGCTCTGGTTCTGAGAGCCTGGATTTGTATTCTGAACAGTCTAAACATGTTTTTAAAAGAAACGTAAGACAAAAGTGGCACCTGCTCAGTAAAACCACCAACAGGGTGAAAAATATCAAAATATTGTAGCAGAGACGGGCTACAACTTCTGGATCATCTTTATATAAATCGTTTTATTCATTATCTTCTTATGAAAGATAACTTTGACGTACACGAGCGACCAGGCGCGTTGCAAGATTTTCAAAAGTGTGGGAGATGTTGTCTGTGCCTAAAATAATTTGATGTTATTCACCTTGTTAGTTTAATTTCCATAACAGCGGAGCAGGTGCGAATTTTAGAAGTGTCACGCATGTCTCCGTTTTAAACATGTTTAAACTGTTCAGAATACAAATCCAGGCTCTGTCTCTTTAGATTGGTGTAACTAAAGTTTGTACTGAATGAAACTTTACATTAAACCATGTTGAAAAGAAAAGGATCCGATTAAATCATTTCCCCTCATTTACAGTCATGATGTACAGTGCAGTGCGCGTGGCTCTGGGGTTAATCAGGTTTAGTTGTTTCTCTTTGCAACAATCTTCATGCACAAGAAGGCAAAACAGTTAAATGGCAGGTTACAGATATTTATATTAGACTTTTATTTTGACGGATAAACTCAAGGATGCTGGCTGTTTTGAAAGAATTACCCCGACGCACACTGATCGCATGGATGAGCTTGGAAAAATGTTCTTTTTATGAAATTATGAAACTTTGGCTGAACAGCGCTTTTTCCCGTCTCTAATATGGACACGCATGATGCATCCAGTCTGAGGCAGAATAGCAGCGCAGAAAGCACCTGTAGAGACATTTGATCACGCACAAAGTTTATGTGGAGCAGAAGCGGTCGGGCCACGGCAGGTGAAACGTTCCTAGCCTACATGAAGTGTAACATTAATATGTTACTGGACACGCTGGTCTGGTTGGTTAGACCAGTGTTTGAAGTGGAAAACACACACACACACACACACACACACACACACACACACACACACACACCAATTAATGCTGATAGCATGGACTAGAAGACAGGTGATGGTTTTATTTAAATGATGATCAGGCTGCTGTAAAATCTAATCTCAATCCACATCCAGACGGAATGATCCTCTATTCTATTTGCTCTGCTCTTGTCTGGAGTGATGTAGCTGACGGTGCGCGCGGGGCGCCTAGTGGCTGTGATGCACATTTTAAGCATTTGGAGAGGTGGACTGGATGCTTTGCTTTTACTGGAAGATGGTCCACTTAACGCACGGGTGTAGACTACATATTAATGACAAATGAATGAAAATTAAATTGTGAGTTTTTACTTAATATTTTAGAAATTAAAATGACGGGGGAACACATTTATGACGTCTTTTTAAACAACATTTTCTAGCGCGACCTGCCTGCTTCACTAAGTCACTGCTTATTAAGGTCCGTCCAAAAACCGTGGCCCACCCAAAAATGAAAACCTGGCGCCGCGCCAGTTATAAACCTCTGCAAATTGTTGTTCTTCACTTTATCAAACTCAGACTTTGTACAGCTAATGTCAAGATGTAAAATTATGAATTCAGGCGAGCTCTTCCGTCCCTCCCTCTCCTGCTCTCCTGGAAACCCGACATCGGCTGTCAGAAGCGGAGGTGAAGAAGGAGATGAGGCAAACAGAGTGAGTGCGACATAGAGAAACTAGACTGGTGTGGAGGTGAGCAAAACAGCTGGAAAAGTGTGGGTGTTGAATCCCCCACGGGTGCGATGTCCATGCGAGCGACCGGTACCGGCTGCTGTCACCTGGTTGTGAGCAGCTCTCTGCTGTCTGAGGGTAGGCCCCGCCCACAACGCTGCGGCTACTGCTGTTTTCTTTACTGTGGGAAACGGGTAATAATGGCTCTTTGATGGGAATAGGTTGCCAACCCCTGGTATAAGATCTGAGATGGTAAAACAAAAATCCTCATCAGCAGGCTTTTTTGAAAGTGGGGGGGGACACAGCTGCCAATCACAAATTTTGCCGGGGGGCGTCCCCGGTTAAACTGACGCCTATGCTGTCATATATGTGTGAATGCTGAGTCAGCGTAAAGTGGCTTTCTGACACACACACACACACACACACACACACACACACACACACACGTTTTTCTTTCATGTTAGTGGACAAACGTTTGTTAGGAAACCAACAAAGGCTTCATTTTAGCTCAGCAACAAAATGCAGACATTAGATAGCATGAAATTAAAAATACATTTATTTGATTACTGCACCTACAATAGTTGTTGCATTTGATTTATATGTACCTTTCAAATATATTTTACTATATCAGCAAGTATTTCTATTGTTGCAGCAGTCAAAATGGTATGTACCCATTAGATTTAACATTTTGACAACACTTTACTATAAGGGTCCCTTTAATAATGGTACTTTGTGCACTACTAAGCATTAATAAACTATTATATAAAGTGTTAACCGCAGCTTAACCATATTACCAAACAGACCCCTCAGGCCCTTTGTCCTAACCTTATAGACACTTAATAGTTACCAATCACGATAACTTTAATAGAGGGATCTTTTGTTTATTAATGCTTATTAATGCATTAAGTAACATTAATGAATGGACCCGTATTGTAAAAAGTTACCAAAAAAGCAAAATAATGATTTAAACATCCTGTTGGTGTAAAATAAATGACACAGCCTTTTGTCTAAGTGCTCAGTGTTATTCTGTATGGGGTTTATCCAGTTGCTGTATTTGAGCTGATGAAACGTTAAAAGCCATCTTCACTGGTTCTTGGTCCTTGGCATCTGGTGAGGTCACTGTTCATCAGAGCTCTGGTGGTCCAAGTAGGACTTTGTCCCAGGACACTTCATAAACTGTCCACACCTTCAGCAGCACAGAAGAACATCTAATCCTGACATGCCCCCTCGCAGCCGCTCACCTTACTGTCCATCTACCTTATCTGTGGGGAGAAAAACTTTTAGCTGGTTTCATTTATTTATACTTTCAAGCGAGAAAATAAATCTTGTTTTGCTTTCAGATTATACCTTTAGGGATGAACTTCAGTGAGCTGCTGAATATTCAGAAGCGGGATAGACCTCTGTTTGGACCATCGTTCACAAACTCATGACCAAGTCCATTTCCGCATTTCCCACACAGTACCTGGAACAAGAAAACAACTCAACAAACCAACTCCATCATAGGAGGAACTTTAGTTTAACTGGTAACTAACTCAACTTTAAACAAATAGAAACCCTTCGTACGTCTCTGTGGATAACCCCAAAATTCCACTACCTCTGCCCCGCCCCCGCCTTCCGCAGCCGCTCGCTTCCAAACTCAATTTTTACTGGTACCCGCTCTACAACGGCTCCGCTCTGGTGCGGAGACCTGAGGTGCACAAACAGGCATGCGTGGGATTTTTGAGATCTTGCGATACAGTCCGAGCAATAAACGCAGAAGTTAGATCCAAACACCCGTTGTGTGGGAGAAGCATCGAAATGAACTGTTTAATTGCCCATCATTTGTGTTGAGAGATCAGCAGTGTTTGGATCAACAAAGTGTGACTACTTTGATAGTAGAAACTGTATTTATGGCTTATTTTTGTACATTTAAAGTTCAGCCGCCATTGATAGTTGTTAAAAGTTGTTAAACCTGTGCATATGAAACAAAAAACGCTTTTTGTTTATCGATTTATTATGAAATAACGGAAGCAGTGCTTGCTCCCTTTCCTGTTGGGCGGTTGTGGTTTCTGTCCATTGACTGCGGAGGTGCTCCGGCGTCCGGCAAAAATAGAATCGGTCCTATTTTTGCCGGATGGTGGAATGGCGGGGGCGCACTGCACCGCACGGCCGCAGTAGTGGAACAGCTCTGATTGACTACAAAGGGACCGATTTTGCTGCGGAGTTCGTGCCGGAGCGGAGCGGAGGTAGTGGAATTTTGGGGTAAAAGCTTCTGCCAAACACAAAAAGGTGTTTGGCAGAAGCCTTTTGACCAGTCTGAAGGAGGAGGTTGATCTGATGCGATCTCTGAGTGTGATTGAGCCATCTAAGAGTGAGTGGTGTAACCCAGTAGTGTTGGTACCAAAAAAAGATGGCAGCTTAAGATTTTGCATAGATTTCAAATACCTGAACTCTGTCTCCAAGTTTGACTCCTGCCCAACGCCACAGATTGATGACCTCATAGAACGACTGGGAGGAGCCAGGTACCTTACCACCTTAGATCTATGCAAAGGCTACTGGCAGGTTCCCCTCACTCAGCACTCCTGAGAGCTGACAGCTTTCCGGACTCCATGGGGTCTATTCCAGTTCACCATTCTACCCTTTGGTCTGCATGGGGCCCCAACAACCTTCCAGCGTCTCATGAATCAGGTACTTGGTGGCATTTCAGATTTTTGTGCTGCATATCTGGATGACATTGTCAATTACAGCAAAACATGGGAGGAGCACTTGAGACATCTGGAGAAGGTACTTGGATTGTCTGCAGGAAGCTGGCCTGACTGTCAATTCCTCCAAATGTGTCTTTGCCAAAGCAGAGACTGAGTACCTGGGCTACGTAATTGGGAATGGGGTGATAAAACCACAAACTGACTACATTTGTGCTGTTGAGTCCTGCCTGCTGCCAGTAACAAAGAAGCAGCTTAGATCTTTCTTGGGCATGGCTGGACTTTACCACCAGTTTATCCCTCATTTTTCTGCTAGGGCAGCACTGCTCACTGACCTGACTGGAACCCGGTGCCCCTCTAACATCCAGTGGTCTGCCGAAGGGGTATCAGCTTTTCAGGACATCAAACAGTCTCTGAGTAACGCCGGGGACACACTGGCCGCGGAAGCGCCGCGAAAATGGGACCGCCTTCATTCGGCGTCCTTGTTAAGCTATTCTATAGACCACATGGGCCGCCGAAGCGCCGCGATTCGCCTCGCGCCGGCGCTCCAGTCCGCGCCGTGCAGCGATCATTTCGGCGTTGGCTCTATTTTTTTCGCGTGCCGCGGGTGAATCGCGTCAATTCTGGCAGGAAGTCAAACGTAGACATAAGAGGCAGGCCGGTAAAGTTAACAAAATAAAGCATTTCAAAATAAAATTCCGCAATAGTCAAATGTGTTCGTAAACAGACACTGCAGAAAAACCACACGAACACGCACACACATACACACACACATCGAACTTGTGTGCGTGTGTGACTACGTGAAGGGGGGTGCGGTTTTGGGTGTCTTTTCACCGGGAGCAAACAGGACAGAGAGGCAGAAAGTCTGAGGCAAGCAGTTAAGGTGGATGACTTTAAATTAATTATGGAAGTTGAGAAACACAAGGAGCTGTACGACCCCCGAAAAACATGGTTATTTACGTCCCATTTCGGAAGAAACTGCTAGGATACAGCAGGAGCGGGTTCCAAGAGATTCAACTGGCAGAAACAACTCATACCATAGGTTCACACACACACACACACACACACGCACACACACACACACACACACACACACGCACACGCGCGCGCGTACAAACACTCAAACGTAGAGGAAAAGAGCTGAGAAAAGGCAGAGAGGAAATGGAGGACACCAAGTGTTTAAAAGAAAAACTACAGCTGAGCCGAGGCGCGCCTCGACTGGGGCGCGTCTGATCTGAACTGAGGAGCGGCGAGCAGCGGCCGAATTTCGTGAGCGATTCGCTTCTCGGCGAAAACCCTGTTTTGCACAGTCTGGACATCAAACAACCTTTAATTCTACAGACTGATGCTTCAGAAAGAGGCTTGGGAGATGTCCTTCTACAGGGTCGTCCAGAAAAAGCGACACCCGGTGGTCTTCTTTAGTCACAAACTGTCCCCAAGGGAAGTCCGTTATTTGACGGTAGAGAAAGAGGCTTTAGGGATGAAATGGGCCCTAGACTCTTTTGAGTATTACCTCCTGGGCCGTGAATTCACTCTGGAGACCGACCATAAGGCCTTACAATGGATGACGCGGATGAAGGACACCAAAGGACGATTAACTAGGTGGTACCAAGCCATCCAAACATTCTGCTTCACCATCCACTACATCCCCGGGAAGGACAACATCTTGGCAGACTTCCTCTCTTGCTGTACCAGTGAGAGTTTTGAGGGGGGGGGGGGGGGGTATGGCAGGATCTGCCACACAGGGGAAAGATAAGTGATTTACCTTTATTTACCTACATTTTTTTACAGTTAACTTTTGGTTACAGATACAAACATAAAAAACAAGTCTGATTTCTGTTGAACTTTAGTTTTAGGTCAGATAATTTGGATGTAATGCATGCACATTTAGTTGATCTTGTTTAACCACATTTTCTATTGTGTAATGTTAATTTTGTTTGTCTTGAGTTGCCAGTAAATTTCCATTTCCCTGGGGACAAAGAGGTGATGTGGCAGAGGGAGAAGCCAGAGCTGATACTTCCTGAAAGGCCTCTACCACTGACTGAAAATGAGGGGGGGTTGGGGCAGAAGGCTTATTTTGGTCTTGCTTTGTTGTTGTTGTTTTTCCATTTATTAAAATTGGTTTGCTAATTAATTGTCTATTTAACTTTGAGTAAATGTAACCATAAGGACTAGCCATTTATTCCTACACTGTTTTAGTCTTTAATGTTGTATTTGTGGTCCTTTCCCTTTCATTTGTAATTGACTGACCAGCCAGTGTAAAAAACCTCCCTAGTGTTTCCTGTACAGTGTTGCCAGATGTACGATAATTATCGTATTTGTACCATAATTTTGGGCTCTGTACGATGTACGATCAATAGTTTCAAAAATCCTCAAATGTACGATAATTTCACATTGCATCTAGTAACACCGTCTTTTGCTGTGGCTTTCCCAAGTCCATTACATAATTTTAAACTGTTCTGAAGTCAGATTTCACCTCAGTGCTTACAGGTTTATGCTATTGTGTCTATTAAAAAAACTGACTCTGGAACTAGGTGAGTAGGCTGCTTTGTCATTTATTGGGTCCGTTTTTCCACTGGTGTGATGTTTTGTCACATGCGTTTAACCTATGTAGAAATGACATAAATAGGACTGCGCAAATGTGCATGTTGTGTCAATGCGTGGAGGTCGGAGTGGTGCCGACACACTCTGCACGTTTATAGGCATTATATTACTGGTTTTAAAGATGTTTATTTAAACAGGGCAATATAAAACACCTTCTTTGTTATATTATATTGGAGTGAGAAGTCGTTTATAGAACGTTATTATCAAATTTATAATGTACGATAATTTGTACTGAAAAACGATAATTTTGGCCTCTCTGTACGATATTGTGGGATTTTGGATCTGGCAACACTGTTCCTGTAGGTCATTTGGTGTTTTGTTTGCTAAGCTTATGTTGCGGTAAAGCTTTCTAGTTAAGTTGACCTCTTTTAGGGGCCCCATTTTTTATTTTTTTTTTGCATTTTTGTTAAATTGGGTGAATAAAACCCTGATTTTTCTGATTCCTTTTTCCTGTGGCTCATTTAAAACAGTTCGGTCCCTGACAGTGTTCCAGGCAGAAAACACCATAAAGGGCAATAAAAGTAAAACATTTTTCTGCTGAAGTCACCTTGTACACCCCGGGTCTCTCCTCATACTTAGACACACTGTCCTCATGGATTGTCTCCGTGAAGGCTGGCCAAGGAGACGAATGCTCATACTTGGAGCGGCTGGAGAACAGCTGGTGGTCACACTTGGAACACACATAGATTCCTGAAAGGTTAAAAGATCAGCAATTTAGTAGAAATTATTAGTGATGCACCGATATGAAATTTTTGGGCTGATACAGATATCCCATATTAAGATCACTGTTATGGCCGAAACCGATATTTGCCGATACCGACATACTGACAATAATGCTTCTAAAATCAGCAGATTTTGTATAGAATAAAAATTATTAAAGCTGAATTTACATTATTATGTACACACAACACACACACATTTACGCTTTACAATCACTGTGACATGACTAAACAAATACACATCACCCCCCTCACCCTCTGAAACAGGCAAACAAATGGAGACAAGATGGAAAAAATATCAGTTGATAATATTGGCCTGGTTTTTTTTAATCGGACCGATACGATATGTAAAAAAATTACTAACATTGTCCGATAACGATGCTGATGCTGATATATTGTCCATCCCTAGAAATTATTAAACTTTCTAGAGATTATTTTAAAACTAAGCTTAATTATTAACTGATGTAGATATTAACATTTTTTTACACAAGTAATTTCACGTTTTGAAAATGGTGTGTGTGTGTGCATGTGTTCTTGTACTTACTACACACTCCTGATTCCCTGTGTCGTAACTGCCCTCTGTAATTCTGTGCATAACATGTCTGTGTAAATGAAAAATGTGTAACTAAATAATGAATAATAAATAAATAAAATACTGAGGACCATTCTGACCATTATCCCTACAATGTGAGGACATTTTTCAAAGTGAGGACATTTTTTTGGTCCTCACTTTTTTTTAGAAGCTTACCAGACTAGTTAGAGGTATAGTGTGAAGTAAGTTTTTGCTAAGGTTAGGGTTAGGAGTAGATCAGCAATGGTTATGGTTGGGGTATGGCTTAGGCATAGTGGAATCACAAAAATGAATAGAAGTCAATGGAGGAAGACGTGTGTGTGTGTGTGTGTGTGTGTGTGTGTGTGTGTGTGTGTGTGTGTGTGTGTGTGTGTGTGTGTGTGTGCGTGCGTGTGTGTGCGTGCGTACGTGCGTGCGTGCGTGCGTGCGTGGGTGCGTGTGTAAAACAGTACAGCTCTTATGAAACCTGAACACCGGTTACAAAACTTACGCGCTAAGGTCCTCAACTGTAGCTTCATCTTACTTCATGAACATTGGGAACTTCCCGTAAATGTTTAGCAACCCGCAGCTAACTTGCTACTGAAAACTTTAGTTTAAAACAGTCGGCACCAACACGCAAAAACTTCTCAGTTGTCAAAAACAAAATGTCAACACGATACCTGGTTTAAAGTGGTCTTTAAAGACTTCTCCGCCGAAAAATGAACAAAACGACATGTCGGCGCTGTGTCGGTAACCTGTTCTACCCGCTGTGTGATCCCAATAATACTGTGATCTCGGCGCACACGCTTCCTGTTTAAACTGCACTTCAAAATAAAACTCCTCGAAGTCTCAGGTTTCACCATTTCATTTCCAAACCCGTAAACAATTTAGCAGTTGTACTCATCGACATAATATACGGGTTGTACTGTGGTGGGAAAAATATCGGGAATTTGAAATTAGTTTAACTTTACACATACTCACCCTGCAAAATTGGATTGTTTATTTGGCAAAGATTTGACGTTAGTTTAAACCAATCATTGTTTGTTTGTTTTTGTTTTTTTCAGATATTCCAACGTTACCTAAATTATTTGGTCAAATGCTTTTATTTTGAATGGCTAAAACACCGGAAATTAACTGTTCTTCTTGCGGAAACGCGTTTGTTTGGATGACAACACCAGTGACGATCACGATGTGGATAATACCTTTGGATTGAACCAACGGAATGCATACAAAGCGTAGTTTTTTTTTCTGTCAGTAGCTTCGCTTCTCCAACTTTATAATCTGCCTCCGGGGTCATGGATAAAACGATGTTCCAGCTGAGGCTGTTCGTTCACCAGCGGATGTACACGGCAGCTGAGGAAATCCTCGTACAATTTGAAAAAACTATCATGCTAGCTTTCTCAGAAGCCGAAGGCGGCTGGTTGAAAACGGGGTTTGAAGGTTTGTTATCCCAGCTAATTTTAGCTCAAATAATGGTTTGTTTAGCTGCAGGATTCTGTGATTGACGGATACTTGATTCGGTCGTGGATGGTTTTATGAAGGAAGAACTATGGCTTTCACCTCTAGAATATTTTAGAACTTTATTTGGGATACTACGGTGGCCAGGCTAATTGCAAAAAAAGGAGAAAAGCAAGAACCGCTGAGATGAAAGTTAAACTATTATTTCCAGAAAAGTCAAAAGGATGTGTCAAAATGTCAAACGTAGCTCGAGGACTTGAACTCCTGAACCCATCTGAAGCTGTCTGCCTCCATCTCCATGACAACCACATCCTGCTCGCATCACTCTCATCTACCACATCAGTTCCCATCAATTAAACTCATGCTAGAAGAAGTTTTGCTTTCTGTTATCTCGAAGTGATCTCCTGCATGGTTCTTCCGTATTGTTTTTATGTTGTTTTGAAAAACTTTAAGAGCTTGTTTATCTAAAGTGGGCGATAAAAATCACTATTTAATGAGAGAAGCAGGACTAAATACTTTAAAGCTGAAGCTTGACCAAGCGTCAATATATGACGAGTAGGGAGTGACTGATGCTCCCTCCATGCCCTCCAGACCGCTGATAGCTGATTTGTTTCAGCTGCATCCCTCCACACACCTGTCCGCTTCTCCCCCTCCTGTCACGCCCTGATCGGCGCACATTTGTTTTCCAGCATGCAGCTTCGCAAGTTGCACGCACGCACATACATGGTACCCAATCTCGGTCCTGGAGGGCCGGTGTCCAGCATGTTTTTGTGTCAACCCTGTTTCGGCACACCTGAATTCAGTCAGCAGGTGAGTTGGAGCAGAGAAACCACAAAAACGTGCTGGATACCAGCCCTCCAGGACCAGGATTGGGCATCCCCACACTATGTACTGCATGCATCACGGATAAAACAAGGTTATTGCCAGAAAACCTCCTGTTACTACCACATTGTAGCTTGCTTAACCAAAAACAGGATGGACTGTAATTTTACCAATGAGAAAAAAAAGCATGCCAAGCGATTGATGTATGAATATCTAATGCTGCTGCCCATGGTTCTAAAAAAAAGCCTGGATCAGCTGCGTCATTGGATGATTTGATTAAAGAAAATGATTAGTGTTGTTTAAAAGAAACAATTAACCTTATGATTAAATCTAATATTAGCTGAAAGTATTTTTTTATATATTTTTTGGACTCTAGGGGGAGATCTTTTCAGGAAAGCCAGGCTCTGGAACACAAACCTCACCCGTGAATAACTGGTGGCCACAAGTTATTCTTTTTTTCTCTCAATGTCACCAAACGGACACCAAAGTTTACTTGTTTACTTGCAAAAATAACAAACACAGTTGCGTTCAGGGGTGCGGTGGGGTTCTGTTTTTCTGGCTGTTCTTGAAGTAACCTGCTTTTTTTCCCATAGAAGGCACTTTTAGTATATTTCTCAATAATATTTTGACTTTATTCTTGACACGCCTTCCCTGTACTTTGATTTAGTTTTGACTGGCCCTAATACTCATTGGTAGTATGTTCTGCGTGCACTCGTTTAAAATAAAGCAGTTTTGTTACTAACATTTTAAGTATTTGTCTTCCTCCACAGGATGTTCATTGGCCAGTTCTTCCTCAGAGCCGGCAGGTGAAGTGGATGCGTCGGTGCTGCAGGAAAACCAAGATTCCAGCTTAACTGAGCAGTCAGACTTCAGTCTGGATCCTGAAGTTCCAGGACCCTCACAGCCTTGTGCTGATTTGGACTACGATGGCTGGAATTTAGTTGAAACAGGTTTTGTGAAATCTGAGATAAAAGAGGAGCAAGGAGATGTTGTGGAAGAAATCCAAACACCTAAGATTGTTGTAGCTCCACGTGACCAGAAGCAGGAGGAGAGGATGAACGACGCTGGAGAAGCTGGTCTCCGGAACGATGGAGCAGAAGTATCAGGTGTAGATGGTTCTGTTAAAAGACAACCAGATCGTCATTTCTGTCATTTGTGTGGCAAATCATTTCTGTACGCTGGTGCTTTGATGAGGCACACAGCAAAACACGAAAGCAAAACGGATTGCGGCATATGCGGTTTGAAACGCCAATCAACGAAAAGGCTGATCGCTCATTTGAAAAGTTTCCACAGCACCTCCGTCTTCTGTGACATCTGCGGACGAATTTACAGCCATAAAAATAGTCTCAAAACACACAAAATAAAACACACAGGAAACAAAGATTTTGTGTGCCAAGAGTGTGGGAAAAGTTTTTTCCTTAGAGCTCATCTGGTGGCTCACGTGAGGACGCACTCTGGTGACAAACCCTTTAAATGTAACATCTGTGGGAAAACTTTCACTCAGGGCCAGACCCTCCTGGCCCACAAAAGAGGTCACCGGGGAGAAAAGCCCTACGGTTGTGTTTTCTGTGGCAAACGCTTTGTAACGAGCAGTAGTTTAAACAAACACGTGCGGTTCCACACAGGAGAAAAGCCCTACCCATGCAACATTTGTGGTCGAACGTTTCGAGCTAATGGACAAATGACTCGTCATAGAGCGACGCATTTATCAGAGAAGCCTTAAGCCTGCCTTGTTGGAGGAATTGCTGCTGATTTAAAGGATGCAGGAGAAATCACAAAACCGAAAAGATAACCAGATGAGCGTCAAGCTACAGGGTGGATTAAGCTACTGGGTGACTTCCTTAACTCATTCAGTGCCTTTAGTCGTCATTTGCATTTATTAACTGTTTGGGCATCGGAACAAGCCCCCACGCCGAGAGAACAAACATCTCAGCTCTAAAGCCGATCTTCATCCGCGTACGTTACACGTCACATGATCAGGAAGCAGAAAACCCATGTGTTAGGAGATCGTTTTGGGCTGTTCCTGTAAAAAAATGTGAGGCGCAAACCGGAAAAGTGTCTGCCCATCACAATTCGACAACGGATTATGAAAGAACGGATAACGCTCGAAACACGCAGATTCTTCCTGATGTAAGAGGTCAGTCTCTGCTTTGTTTTGGCGTCAACGTCATCCTCGCGCGCAACGTTCTGTGACTCTTAAAAAAACAGTAAAAACAGCGAGAAACGCTGGCAGCGAAGGGCTTTATCGATCAGGAAGCAGCTGGCAGCGAATGAGTTAAAGAGGGACTGCACACCATCAGAAAACGTAACTTAACCCCTTGTCAAGATTTTAAAAATGCTATGAAAGTGGGAGAGATTCCTGTTTGGCTAACTGGTTAGCGTGTGTGATTATCACTTAGGAGTAAGGGGATCGAATCCTGTTTGGGCTGCGCAGTGGTTAGAGCCTTGCAGCGAGAAGGTCCTGGGTTCGATTCCCGGCCTGGGATCTTTCTGTATGGAGTTTGCATGTTCTCCCTGTGCATGCATGGGTTCTCTCCGGGTACTCCGGCTTCCTCCCACAGTCCAAAAACATGACTGTTAGGTTGATTGGTCTGTCTAAATTGTCCTTAGGTGTGAGTGTGTGTGCATGGTTGTTTGTCCTGTGTGTCTCTGTGTAGCCCTGCGATGGACTGGCTCTCTGTCCAGGGTGTACCACCTACTTGCCCATTGACTGCTCGCGATAGGCACCAGCCCCCCCCCCCCAACCGCAACCCTGCGTGGACAAAGCGGGTTCAGAAGATGGATAGATGGTATGAAAGTGGGCATTGCCAGGAGGCACAGAGTGGCATGGCCAAGTGCGGGAAATTTCCATCCTGGGAGGGAGGGGGAGTGGGAGGAGACTACCGATGATGTGAAATAGTACCAGCCCCAGTCACTCACAAGTTTAAAATGCTGTAGCCGTTGTTCTGCCACAAGGGGCAGCACTAAGATGTTTTTAGACCTAGATTCTGATTTAATCAAGTTTACACAAACATGTCAAAAATGCACAGAAACAGAAAGATTGCATTTGTAAAGACTCAATTATACAGTTTATAAACAAAAAATGTTACTTTGGGGTTTAGTTTCTCTTTAAAAGGCAACATTACACAAAAGGAAAAGAAGATTCACCTCCTGAGTTTTGTTCTGATAAGTTTAGTTCCTTAGTAATAAAAATGAGCTTGGACAAGACTTACAACATGTCTTACAAATAAAGTAATTTGTAGTAAAGTTAGAAAAAACTTGGTTCTGAATGAGTCTGGGATAGAAACAGACCCAACAGCACGAGAGTTGTGTGGCTAAAAGTGCTTTTTCTGGTCTAAATGTAATATATGGTATATCTTTACATTTCTGTGGTACAAGTTGGAGGACAGTGCTCATATTGTTTAATTTGCTGACTTTGATCCACTTTCTGTGGTGATTTCATGTGTTTGAGTCGTTTTTTCATGCTTGAATCAAAAATCCTGTTTCATAATAAATTGTATTATTATTCTGCCTTCTCTGTCCTTCTTAGCCTGCAGATTCAAAAGAAAAATTTAAAATTATTTATAGTTTTGCACCGACTTGTATTGAACATTATATTTTGACCTCATATAGTTCACGTCATATTAGTATGTGGTGGTGGGCATGGCTCAAGGAACTACTGAGCCCCTAAAGGGAAAGGGGTAGGGGGAAAAAAGTATTGCGAGAGCTTGCAAAAGGGTTTGCGAGCTCTTGCAATAGTTTTCTTCCCTCTCATGTCCCTTTAGGGTCTCCGTACCGTACCGTACAGCCTCTGGTGAGAGGACAAGTTTTTTTACACGGATTAGAAAAAACAGATGATTTTCACTCATTTCCAGCAGGGAGCAGCAACGAGCTACGTTGAGTAGATCTGCATTATTACACTTTAAAATACTTAAATTAAAAACTAACCAAAGAGGTGCGAATGTCAGTTTTATTGGAAAAGAATGGCATCTTTTGAAATAGCGACTTGTTTATAAATACGTTTTTTTATTTAGAGAAATTTAAAGAATTTCCTACATTTTTCCTTTTTTGGCTATTTTGCCAATGTGTGGGTTTCTTTTAATGTTGTAATTTTATTTATATTTTTTGCTTTTACTTTCTGATAAATCGTGAAGCTTTCTTTTTCCAAAAAAGAGGAAATTTATTGAAAAGCTCCCAACAAAAACCTAAAACCCACCTTTGAAGCCCTCATTGGTTTGGTTTGTTTGTGCTTATATCTCTTTCAAATTAGACATGAATCCTGTTTTAAGGAAGAAGTTTTCTTTTTACGAGTCACTGCTTCTAATACATGGACGTAGTTAGGTTTTGTGTGTGTGTGGGGGTGGGTGGGAGGGGGGGGGGCACTTTTTCCAAAGTCATTTTTTGTCCCTTGCACTTTTTACCGTCCAAAAACAAAATTACTATACACCAGTTGAGCACTAGGACCAAGCAGAAAACTGCTTGTGTTGAAGACCGTTTCCCATTAGAACCGTCTATAAGCTCTCTATTGGCTCTGATGATACTTGCTAACGTGTGATTGGCCGTTCCTGGCACCTGTGTACTTAATAGTTTATTCATTCATTTCGTTTCATTTATAGTTCTGTTTTCCTGACATTGCATAAAAGAGCCTCAAGGCCAGGGTTCGGCAACCTTTTCCCATCAAAGAGCCATTATTAACCTTTCCCACATGAAAACACTGGGAGCCAGAGCCGGATTAATACAAAAGCAAAGTAGGCACGTGCCTAGGGCCTGATTGGCTGGATGAGGCCCAGACAAAGGGACAAAATTAAAAATAAATAAATTAAAAATTAAATGTACAAATGACCTGTGATAGAATTTGTAGATAGGACTCCTATCTACAATTTATTTCAATATTTATTAATTAACTAAAAATAGTGACAATGTTCATTTAACCATAGACCATTACATTGGCTATGTCACATTAACGCCAGCCCATGACTGTAGCCTACAACTTGGGCGTCACCAAATTAAAGATGTCAGAGAAGCGGTCAATCAGAGCGGGACACAACAAAGCTAGCAGGTGTTTTTGAGTAGGCTAACTTTCACGATGCTTTCGGGTGCGGCAAAATGTAAAAAAAAAATATGAAGAGAGACAGCGGGGGGGCTTTACAGAAGTTTCTGTGGGGCTGCTCGGGCAGCCGTCCGACAGCTGTGAGCCTGCTCGAGTCAGCAGAGCCAGAGGCCGAACCCAAGCCAGACACAGTGGAAGATGCTCCGGAAGACGCTGTAGCGCCAACGCCGTCAACATCAACGCCGTCACAGAAGGACGAACTGGAAGAACAGCTGCCAGCCAGAAGTGAGCCCAATATAGTCTTACAGGAGCCTCTAGACCCAGAAAGGGTGTTAACAAGCTACCCATCTGATCCTGCAAAGTGGTACCAAACTGATGACAGGATGTGTGAGTACTTTGCACGAAACCATCCCTCTCAAAGTATTCCTCTGCATCACAGAGGAAATATGGAGACATAAACCGAAGCTTAACCAAGCAACATTTCTTCAGACGTGTTTCTGCTGTGATTGAGGCCCTGTGATGCTGGAAGGCTGAAGATTATCCCGGAGTGGAGCATGCTAAACGGTTTCCTTGGTAAGTGTTGCTGGTTTTATTAATTGTTTTTCAAATATGTTTTATTCATGTTCAAATAGCATAAACAATAAGTTCACACTCAGAAAACTCACACCTAATTTCTGATTCAGCAGAGGCAACAACAGCCTGAATGAGCTTGAAGCAAGATCAAAACTTAAGATAATGTTTTCATTTTATTAAAATACATTTTTTAAGATTAAAGATTGTATAAAATGTATACTGTAATAATTTAAGCTGCGTGTTTATAGTTTGTTTTTGCGCCTTTAGAACATGCTTCAGTCCATTCAAATTAATCTATTTCTTCTTGAATGTCTTTCCACTATCATGTGATTAATTTGTCAACATTTATAAATGTTGTAAGCTATTGTATTTAGCAGAAAATCTTTTTAATTAAATGTAGTGATTAAATGTAAACAGAGCAAATAAGAGGAACATAACATTTGCTCTGTTTACATAGTTTAATGACACCTAGTGGTTATTTACTGGTACTACCGCCTTGACAATGACACTCCCAAAAGATAAGATGAGGATAATTTATTATTGGCATTTAATACAGCTGTGTAATGACGTATAAATTATTAATATAAAAAAATTGTCTGATAAAATGTTTAACATACAACACATAATTTATTTTGGCATACAAACAACCAATTTGTAACCAAAGACTAGGCTATGTTAAATGTGAATGAACTTTTAGAAGTAACTTTGGTAAGTTTCAGATTTCAATTCATTAAATAACATCGAAGGGTGGGGTGGGGGGGTGGGCAAAAAATGCAGCCTGCCTAGTGTAGTCCATTTATTTAATCCGGTGTCGGTACAGGATCTGCTCAGGTGCAGGATCGGCTCGGGGTCCTTCGACTGCCGATGGCGTCAAAGTAGTTAATTGGCTGAACATGAAGCTTACGGAAGTGACGTTACCACGTTATGATTTTGATTGGTCAGAACAAATTTGTGGTTGTAGTCTTAGTGGTTGTAGTCCTGTAGTCCAAAAATCAACACTTTTTGGAGAAAATATGTTTGAATTTCTAAAGGAAATGTAAAATATAAGCAAATGATAAACGGTGACCCTCAAAAGCTCTTGATGTTGATGAAATGGCGCAAAATAAAATATAAGAACTTTATTGAAAGACACCAAGCAATATTTTGAGTCAAAGAATGTATTTAGATAACAACTAAGGAAATGTACAGACGAACTCCACATTACGACAAACAGATATGGCTTCACATATAAGAACTGTTCTATTTTTTGTCAGTCCGATGTTGGTTTTATGCAGTTTCACATTCTTTACAAAACAAAGATAATACAGTGTTTTATTAACAAATTACAATTATAAAGAAAATATTTAGGTGTTAACAAACAAGAATTTATTAACAAAACTGCTGATGTCTTTCCAAAACGTATGTGTGAAAGCCGAGTAGATTTGCAGTAATGTGACGTCATCGGCAGTCAAAGGATCCCGAGCCGATCCTGTACCCGAGCAGATCCTGTACCGACACCGGTTCTGCTGGGAGCCGCGGCGTTGTGGGTGGGGTCACCCACCCTAAGACGGCCTAGAACTGCTTTAACCGACCACAAGTTGACAGCAGCCAAAACTGTTTGCTCATGTACGCCTAACTTATCTCTCAACAGAAGATTAGTAAACTTTTTGTATTAAATTGTTCCAGAAGTTGTAGCCCGTCTGTGCCTAATATTTAAATATTTTTTCACCCTGTTAATGTGGTTTTATTGAGCAGGGGCCGCTTTTTGACGTGTCACACATGTCTCCTTTTAAAACATGTTTAAACTGTTCAGAATACAAATCCAGGCTCAGTCTCATTGGATTGTTGTAATTAAACTTTGCACTGAATAAAAGTTTACATTAAACAATGTTGAAAAGGTAAAAAAAAAAAGGATCTGATCAGTTAGGTTTTTTTCCCATCACTTACATGGAGATAACTGCGCAAAGCGCATGGCTCTGGTGTTAATCAAGTTTCATTGTTTCTCTGCAACAATTCTTCTTTGCAGCAATCTTCACAAGAAGGCAAAACAGTTAAATGGCAGGGTTTGCACTGACCGGATATGTCCCGTATTTGACCGTTTATTTTGACAGAAAAAGAACAGAAATAATTACCCCGGCGTGTGCAGATGCGCTGACATTTTAATCGTTACGCACATCGCGGAGGTACCTAAATCAATCAAGAAAAGATTCCCATCAGAACAGCTGAGCTGGACACTGTTCAGCGCAGCTCGCTGTCAGCGCGTAAAGTGGACAGCGGAGAGGGGCTTGGAGCACGTCGCTGAACCAGAGCCGGAAGAATCCTCTCACTGAAGCGAGTGTTTTCCAAACCCTGTCTCTCAGTGAGACTGGTCACCTAGAAAATGTTCCCTGATTATCAAACTTTGGCTGACTAGCGCTTGTTCCTGTCTCTAATGTGGCGACTCATCCATGAGCCTGTGAAAAAGTCCACAATTACACACTGCAGTGTGACCAAATTCACACAATACAACACTGCACACACGCTGATCACACTACACTATTTAGTTTAAACCAGGTATACAGTTTAGATTTAGTGTGAAACTTTTAATAATATAAATTGAAAAAGTTTCTCCATTTGAAACTATAGTGACACCAAATTCACACAGAAAATCACAAATTTGATGCTGATCATATTACACATTTTATTTTTTAGAGAAAATACTACACTTTTTTTTCTTGTTTCCCCTCTACTTTTGGTGATATAAAAAACATTTTAAATAATTCCTAAACTGTAAACTCTGTTGACACCAAATTTTGCCTGCAGGTCAATACTTAGCTGCTGTACGTACTACAACTTTACTTTGAGCAAAAAATACTTTTCTGATTTTTTGTGATTTTTTTAAGTTTTCTAATTTCAATAGCTCTTACACTGTAAACTCTGTTGACACAAA